GCAGAGCAGGAGTCAGGGTTGGGGGATCCACAGAAGGAGAGATGAGGGACATTGTCCTGGGCATTAAGAGAAGTGCTCTCATGATCAGCAACTGAGTTGCAGATAGAACCTAGGAGTCCTGGCTCCCAGCCCCTCCTGCTCTAAACTACCAGACCCTACTATACAGGAAGGGAATGAGTTAAACTGATATCATAAGTGCTCAGGCTGATGTGGTTAAGGCCCACCAGTTTCTGTAGCCAACAACACACAAGGGAATGATGCAGCCAGCATCACACCCAGCTACCTTTGCTTTCCCAGATCACGCAGAGAAGAGACTATCCCCAGGGCAGGAATTGATTCCTTTTGAAAGCCTCCAGAGGTTATTTTGATAAAAAGACAGAAGTAGTAGGTCTGCTGAATAGTCCAAACCCCTATGGTGATTGTGGGACATACCCAAAGAAGCAATTTCATGGCTTTTTTTGTGCTGAAGAGGATGATAAGGTAGGTTGTAAGAAAGTCCTCCTAACTATGCTTACACTGGGGCATGTGCAGGGGAGAGGGCTGAAGTGGGGAGAAGAAATATGGAGCATGTGAGAAGAGTTTTTTAGGTTGTACATGTTGGGCAGAAGGATGGGTGGTGTTACAAAGTGGGTGAAGCTTGCTCTGTAAAGTGCTGCAGACAGTGAATGAGGCATTCCTTCCAGGTGGGTGACATATAAGTGTATGTCTTGCTGATGAATGACAATCTACTACAGTCACAATCAATAAAATAATTGACCTGGGTCAGTTTGGTCTTTCAGGCTCTTCTTCAGGAGTACAAACAATTAATAATGTTATGGAGCCACTCAGAGATGCTGTGATCAGGTTCCCTGGCCCAGCTAGGCTCAGTATCTCCCCAGGGCTCTCAGGAAAAAATGAGAGTTTATCAGAGCCTAGGGGGTAGGGAGGGAACTGCCTCTGTCTATGGGAAACCTGAAGCAGCAGAGGAGTGAAGGGAAATTTGGGCACTGCATAGAAAAAAGAGTCAATAAATAATCTCTTCTCTGTAGAAATCCCAGCCCCGTCCACTTCCTCATGTGGGACACCACACGAGAGCATAGGGAACCAGGTCTGTGTGTTCTGTGTCTGTATATAACAACCACAGCTCCATTTCTAATGACCGCATCCTGAACCTCTGAGGTGAACTGCTGGCTGTTTGAACACTCACACTAGAGACTGAGGGATTGCCACAAACTCAGCCCCAGGTACTGCCCGTAAAAGCATCTACTCCCAGACCTTGAGGGAGGGCCAGGAGGCCTCATGGCCAACAGCAGGCTGCAAGGCCTGGCACAGGTGACACAGGAAGCACAGTGTGATTGCCTGGTGATGCCATGGCAGAGTCTGGGGTGAGGGTTTGGAGGGAATCAGGAGAGAAGGGGAAATGGAGACGCCAAGGATGTGGTCAGGCTGTGGCCCTATCTATCCAGAGCCCAGGAGTCACTCTCTGGTCCCAGAGGAGTCATTCTCTGGTCCCTGCTGAGCCCAGCATCACATGGCCCAGATCACTGCATGATGCCCACATACAGGCCCAGCCTGTCACCTGCAGGGGAACACAGTTGCCTTGGCCAGTCTGTGAGCAGGGCGCGGTGCTCACGTGGGGATGGGGAGGAAGCAGACAGAATATGAGATGGCCCATCCCAGCCAGGCAGCATGCTGCCATTACAGAGAAGGGATTCCAGTGAAAAACCTGACCCCACAGAGCCCAAGAAACATCCAGCCTCACCCTGCTCCCAGCAGCCTGGTGCAGAACTGAGGACCCTGATCTCCTGAGAAATGAGAGACCTGGGAACCCCCATATAAAGGAGACTTGCCTGCCCAGATTGGGGCAGAGAACAGACAGAGGGAGTCTGTCCCCACACTGTCTGCCTCCATCCTCTGCCCCTCCACCCAATGCTGCCCGGCTTACCTTCAATAGAGCATTCAGCCTTCAGTATTCGCAGGAATCTGCCCTCTTTAATGCCCCCCTTGCTCTCCTTCCCACCTATCCCATGGGTCTGTCCTGGCATTTCTCCCTCTTTCTTCTCTCTGTGTCAGCACCATTTCCCCCCCAGTTTATACCTACTCCCCATATTTCTATCACACAAACCCTCAAAGCCTTTCACCATCCTCATCCCTCTGTCTCCAGCTTGCTACCTCCTGCCTGGGGCTCCTCAGCTCAGGGGCTCTCCAGATTCACCCATAGATTTGCTTATGGCCCTTAATGGTATAGGGGTCTGAAGGGATCAGGTTGGGAATGGGGAGGTTTTGAGGGAGGAGGGTTGAGGATGAGTCTGGTGAAGGTAGAAGGTGTTTGAGGGGAGATGGATTGGGGAGATGGCATGAGGGGCTTGGAGCAAGGGAGAGTAGAGGGCACAGGAGTTTGGAGGGATGTAGGCTGCCCCAGAAAGACACAGCCAGGAGGGCAGGAGAATTTCCCACCGAAACCCCGGCTTAGCCATGGAGCACATCCAGGGGGTTAAGGAACAAGGGGATTCCTTGCCCATGAATGTCAGTGATATTTAAAGAGTGGATTAATTCTGAAATGCAGAAAGGGAAGCCCACTTTCCCTGTCTGCTGGGGGAGTTGTCATTGGACCCCCAGAGCTGCCATAGTCCAGCCTCCACCCACCCTTTCCCAATCTTTCTTCTCACCCTTGCCCACTAGCTTCATCTTCCCTTTAAATTCACTTTTCTCTCTCTGACCCTGAGCAGGGAATGATCTGCTCTGCTCCCTGTTTAATTTCTCAGACTGTTTTTTTCAGGTGCGGCTTTTCATAGATTCATAGATTGTAAGGGGCTGGAAGGGATCTCACAGATCATCGGGTCCAGCACCCCGCTCTAGGCAGGAAGACACCTGGGGTCAAGTGACCCCAGCAAGGTGACTGTCGTCAGGATCCAGAGCCTCATATGGCAAATTCGACTTTGTCAACGTGAGGGGATGAAATATCAGACATTCAGTGTTCATACAGAAAACCTCAGATTGGCTTAGAAAGCAGGAGCTGGTTAATATGACAGTGTGATTCCCACTGGAGAAAAAAAAGATTGGGACCCTTGGAGACCAAGCAGGGCCTAGTAGCTTGTTCCCGCTTCACTGCTACTGGCTGGGCTGCTGGCTGGCCAGGCACTTCCTGAGCTTCAAGGGCTCTGATTCTTTTTGGAACTTATGCTGTCTCTAGCTGGCTGGCAGCCCAGGCAGGGATGGTGCAAGGGAGTGAGCTGCCAGCTGTCCAGGCACTGCCTAAGCTCCAAGGGGCCCAGTGCTTTTTTTCTTGAGATCTCACCCCCACCCATGTCACCACCAGTGGGAGCAGCAAGTCAGTCTGGATGGCAGTGGGAGGCACTGTTGTCACTGATCACTGCCACTCTGGGGCTGCAGCACTCACTCTGTCTGACATTCCCAGGGAGCAAGGTGCCATGCCCAACCCTGCTGCATTGTGGGGTCTCCACTTACCCTGACTCACGAGGGGCCATT